CCACTTCCGGTTTTCTGGTGGTTTTATTGGAGATAGGAGTCTCACGGTCTTTCCTGCCCGGGCTGGCTTTGAACCGCGATCCTCAGATCTCAGCCTCCTGAGTAGCTAGGATTACAGGCGTGAGCTACCAGCGCCTGGCTACCTGGCTAAATTTAAATCACTGAGGTGGTTCAGTGGTAGAATGCTTGCCTTGTATGAATGAGGCCCTGGGTTCGATTCCTCAGCACCACATAAGTAGAAAAAAAAGCCAGAAGTGGTGCTGTGGCTCAAGTGGTAGTGTGCTAGCCTTGAGCTGAAGAGCTGAGGGACAGCGCCCAGGCCCAGAGTTCAGGCCCCACGACTGGATCCTCCAAAAAAAATAATCAGGAATAATTGACAAGTACTTGCAATACAGAAGTTTTTTTGTTCTGCAGAATTCAGACTTTGATACTTGTGTGTAAAAACATGAATAAAAAAGACTGGAAAGCAGTTGAAAAACAACAGATTGGAAATCCATAGTTTTTCTCCTAATTTTAATTTAAAGGGACGCTGGTCCATAGATTCAGGTTTCAGGTTTATTACTGTTTGGAAAATCATTACATACTTTGACTTTAAGGCTCTAAATCTTGTAATAGGTGGAAGAACAATCGCCCTTTCTCAGCAGATGGAAATTATCGTCCGTTAGCCAAGACAAGACAACAGAATATTAGCATGCAACGGCAAGAAAACCTTCGATGGGTGTCAGAACTGTCTTACATAGAGGAGAAAGAACAATGGCAAGAACAAATTAATCAGTTGAAAAAACAACTTGATTTCAGTGTCAATATTTGTCAGACTTTAATGCAAGACCAACAGGTAAAATTTACTTTGAAAATAAAACTTTAGTTGCATTATTTTGAAGCAATACATTTTTTTCCCTCAACTCATTAGTAACTATTACCAATTTTTTTCTTTATTATAGACTCTGTCATGTCTGCTACAAACTCTTCTCACTGGTCCATACAGTGTTATGCCGAGCAATGTTGCCTCTCCTCAAGTGCACTTTATAATGCACCAGCTGAACCAGTGCTATACGCAGCTAACATGGCAACAGAATAATGTTCAGAGGTAACCTGTTTCTTGGAAGTATTGAGAGTGTAGTGAATTTTAAACTTGAGAGAGAGTTATACAATTAACCTTCCAGGAAACAGACCTGAGTTTGAGAAAGAAATGAGCCAAATTGCATCTTCAGGAGCCTGAAAAATTTAAAACTAGTCATCTTGTATATTGTGGACTTTTGTTTGTAAAATTTTGTATTTGTGAGTTGTGTACTTAAATTAGGTGAAATATGTAAATTACACCATAATAACAATCATAACATTTCTTATAAATACCTGCTATCTGATAGAGTTTGGTTCTGTTGTTTTTTGTGTTTCTCGCAGCGCTGCTGGGGGTTTGAATGCAATGCTGGCACAATATCAGGAGCCACATTTTCAGGCTTTATTTCACTAATTATTTTTAGCCTCCCATGTAGCTTGGGATGATAGGCACATGCCACTGTGTCTAGCTATGAGCTGTGAAAAGATGTTGAATTTTTCTCCTTAGGTTGGCCTCCAGTCACCCGTCCTCCCATTGTCAACCTCTCCTTTTTATTTTATCTTTTGCTATTCCTGGGTGCTGTCCTTGAACTCCTTTTGCTCAAAACTAGCACTCTACCATTTGAGGCACAAGCCACTTCTGGCTTTGTCTATGATTAATTGGAGATAAGAGTCTCACAGACTTTCCTGCCCCTACTGGCTTCCAATTGTGATGCTACATCTCAGCCCCCTAAGTAGCTAGGATTACAGGCATGAGCCACCAGCTTCAAGCCATTGTCAGCCTCTCTAGTAGCTAGGATTATAAGAGTAAGCTAGTGGTACCAATCTTAAGTTTGGTTCTTATTACAAAGGCTAAGTTATTGAATTAAGCCAGCAGAGCAAACAAATGCTTCTTATAGTATAAGAACAATCAGTCTAGTATGAGTGCTTTTGAATCATTTTTAAATTTTGTTTTAATTTTATCTTTAAGTAGTTGTACAAATAGATTACCATTCAACAAGTTAGTTTATAAGTACACTGTATCTTAATGTCAGCCCTTCCATAATTTTCTCCAAGCCCATGTTTGTTACATATATTTTTGGATATATTTTATATATAGCATAATATAACTGATTCTAAGTTACTGACTTGAAATTTTTGTAGATTGAAGCAAATGCTAAATGAACTTATGCACCAGCAAAGTCAACATCCGGAAAAACCTAGAAGCAAAGAAAGAGGTGGTAACACATCACACCCCTCTTCTCCCAGTTTATTTTGTCCTTTTAGCTTTCCAACCCAGCCTGTAAATCTATTTAATCTTCCTGGATTTACTAACTTCTCATCATTTGCACCAGGTAAGTAACTAAAATCTAAAGGGAAGATAAATAAATAGGTTGAGATTTTAATTTTTAACATCATATTTTTGAGTGGAAACTTAACATTCCTGCATTGTTTCCTGTGATGAAAATTAATATAATTGCTAACAAAATTAAGTATATTGGTTAGGAATGGTTGCATTAGCTGTTTATTGAGGGGAAAAGAACCAGTTTAATGCCTTCCGTATACCAGGCACTATGTATACAAGCTACGTATAAAACAGGAGAGTAATGATGAGGAAGACAGTACTCTTCAAGAGAAACACCATACATATCTTGTTGATGATAGACTTTTATTCATTTTGTTCTGTTTTTCTTGTTATATGCTAAGTACTATATAAGTTATCAAACAGTCTTCTGGGCCAGAAGCAAAGAATACTAATAAATGCTCATATCTCTCAAAGTATCAGCAAATTAGTTTTGGAATAGGCGAGATTTATATTAAAACAGTGAATAAAATTTATTAAAAGATTAAAAGAGCCAGGTGCTAGTAGCTCACGCCTGTAATCCTAGCTATTCAGGAGCCTGAGAGCTGAGGATCATGCTTCAAAGCCAGCCCAAGAAGGGAAGTCCATGAGACTCTTACCTTCAGTAAACCACCAGAAAACTCAAAGTGGCACTTGGCCCGTGGTAGAGCACTAGCCTTGAGCTAAGAGCTGAGGAACAGCTCCTAGGCCCAGAGTTCAATCCCCATGACCAAAAAATAAAAAGATTAGAAGGTAAAGAACATTGTAATTACTGGAATGACTGGAATGGAATAATGTATCACTTAGACAATTTAGAGGTAGTTAATTGTAACTGGTGTTTAGAGTGAAGGCTGAGGAGGAGTAATTGATGTTTGCTGAATTGTGGCAGAGACCTGTTGTGATGTACAGAGCAGCTTTGGCTATATTGCATCAAAAGGGGGTCATTGATGCACTTTAAATGAGGTGGGGAAATAAAATTTATATTTTACAAAGATTATATTGACGATAATAGTGTTTGAGAAATTGGAGGGAAAGAACTAAGAGTATAACTGGTTACTAGAAGACTTGAGTGCAATTTAGGGAAAGGATAATTGGGCTTAACAGCATTGCCAATAATGGTTTAAAAAGCAAAGTCCTAAGACAGGAGTGAAAAAATTAAGCAACTAGTTAAATAAAGTGAATCGTGAAGGAATATTTGCCAGAGAGTGTAAGAGGCTAGAAGAAATTGGGAAAGCTTTGTGAAAATAAGTGTCCCTAGCCAACAGTGTATTTTTAACAATTTTTATGAGAGTGGCATTTAAAAATTGAACAAGCTTTTTTAGTCTTACAGTATAAATATTGGTAGCACACATTATTTGAGTAAGTTTTGGGGGGAGGGAAGTACTGGAGTTTGATCTTAGGGCTTTGACCTTGATAGGCAGGTACTCTACCAGTACTTTTTTTTTTTAATGTTTTTTTTTATTGTGAGAATATCGTCCAGAGGAGTTACAATTACATGGGCAAGATAACAAGTACATTTACTTTATAGTCTTGGTTTTGTTGTTGTTTTTGTTTTTGTCTCCTTTTTTTTTGTGCACCAACCTACCCTGGTTTTATTTTATTTTAATTTTATTTTTTTTATAGAGATAGGGGTGTCCTGACAAAATTTTCCCCAATTTTTGCCTGCTGAATAAATAGAATTACAGATATGAGCTACTATGTATGGCTTCCTTGAGAAGACTTAAAAGTAACAAATGAGAAATTATATGTGCTAGTTGTTTGCACTGTAACACTTTTCATACTTAAGCTAACTCCGTACAAAGGCTGTTTATCACATAAACTGGTTCCATTTTATGAAGTTTTCCTTATCTATTCCTTCTAGCCCCATATAAGCACCTCTAGTGCATAGCACTGTTTGGCAGGCATTTCACCATGTTCTGCTTTCACAATTAAAAAGGAACAAAATTAAACTTGTACATAGCATTATTTGTTAGTGTGTGTGTGTGTGTGTGTGGGTGTGTGTGTGTTGTGGGGCCTGAACTCTGGGCCTTGGCACTGCCCCTTAGCTCGTCAGCTCAAGACTAGTGCTTTACCACTTGAGCTACAGCGCCACTTCCAGCTTTTTCTGCTTATGTGGTGCTGAGGAATTGAACCCAGGGCCTCAGGCATGCAAGGCAAGCACTCTACCACTAAGCCACCTTCCCAGCCCTAACAGATTATTTTTTATATTCTACTTTTCCAGTAGAATATAAGTGCCTACAATTGAGTCTCATAACCCTGTAATAAATAAAATGAATGCCAAGTGATCTTATTTATACTCTTTAGTTCATAAGGGAGGATCATTAGGTTTGTATCACAAGTATTATAGGCTAAGCTGTGAATAGGGATTGAGTAAATGAACTAGTTTATCAAGTGGGTAGTTTTGTTTTGATGGGTTTGAACATATGTTTAATTAGAACTCAAATACTATTTTAAGGCTAAAGCACTTATGTATTGTTCTCTTATTGATTTCATTTATTAGGTATGAATTTCAGCCCTTTATTTCCTTCTAATTTTGGAGATTTTTCTCAGAATATTTCTACACCTACTGAACAACAGCCACCATTAGCCCAGAATCCTTCAGGAAAAACTGAGTACATGGCTTTTCCAAAACCATTTGAAAGCAGTTCCTCTGGAGCAGAAAAGCAAAGGTATTTGATTCTTAACATCTTTTATTTGCTTTTAATACTTAATCATGTTATTTTTATATTACATATAACAATTTGAAGATAATTTAGATTTTTGTGATTACCTTGACAGGTTTGGAAATAATGAAACTTCTGAATCTTAGTATATACTCAATTATAGCCTTTTTAAAAAAAATTTTGCCAGTCCTGGCACTTATCTCAGGGCCTAGGTTCTGTACTGAGCCTCTTTGTGCTCAAGGCTAGTGCTCTACCACTTGAGCCACAGCAGAGTCCTACTCTAGCTTTTTCTGAGAAATTTATTGGAGATAAGAATCTCATGGACTTTCCTGCCCAGGCTTGCTGCAAATTGTGTTCTCAGGTCTCAGCCTCCTGAGTAGCTAGGATTACAGGTATGAAACCATTGGCACCTGTCTTCAAGAATTTTTTTTTTGGGGGGGGCGGTCCGGTCATGGGGCCTGAACTCTGGGCCTGGGTGCTGTCCTTCAGCTTTTTAGCTCAAGGCTAGCGCTCTACCACTTGAGCTATAGCGCCACATCCGGCTTTTTTCTTTTTTGCTTATGTGGTGCTGAGGAATCGAACCCAGGGTCTCATGCATGCAAGGCAAGCACTCTACCACTGAGCCACCTTCCCAGCCCCTTTAAGTATATATTTTTGTTAACCTTTGTCCAATATCAGGTCAGTTTTGATTAAAGGTATTCTTGAGATTCAGTTTGGAAGTATATCACCTACTGATTTTTATTCTTGATTTCTTAAGTATTTAAGGCTAATTATTTGTGCGGGTATTTATTTTATTTGTGAAATGAATTCAGAGTGAGGGTGCTCTCCCTTACCTTTTTTTTTTCTCTCTCAAGACTAGCACCATACCACTTAAGTCACAGCTCTACATCTTGACGTTTTGGTAGTTAAGACATGAGAGTCTCATAGACTTTTCTGCCTAGGTTGGCTTCAAACCATGAACCATGAACCTTATATCTCAGCCTCTCTGAGTGGCTAGGATTATAAACATGAGCCACCAACACCTGGCGTTCTTCAAGGTTTTTAAAGATTTAGGGGTTCACTGACTTTAAAACTGGAAACTGATAATAAGTGCCAGAAGTTAATTGCTTATAATTTTATTCAGAACATCTTTAGAATCAGTTCCTAAAGACTAGTCAATTACAATATTCATCATTACTGTATTATAAAAACAATTTTTGCCTGAGAAGTTTTCCTGTAAATTTTTAGCTTTATGTTAAGTTGTATTAAACTGTAATAATAGTGTACATAGTTAAAATAGGTTTCTTAAGCTGCATGTCACAGAGACAGGGTGTGGTTGGTTTTAAATCTTAGGACACACTTTCTCAGTACATTTTATATAATTTTAAACTCAACACTGTCTTGAGAAATTTTGATGTTACATGGTATGAATCATGATTAAGATTTTCTCACTTTTTTTTTAATATGGTAGGCTTCCCAAATAAATTTTCTGATACAAATAGTATGAAAGAATAATATGGAACTATATGCTCATGCCTGTAATCCTAGCTGCTCAAGAGGCTGAGATCTGAGGATCTGATTCAAAGTCAGCCTAGAAAGGAAAGTTTATGAGACTCATATCAGAACTGAAGGGGTGGCTCAAAGTGGTAGAGCCTTGAATGAAAAAGCTTAGTGGCTAAGCCCTTAATTCAAGCCCCTATGACTGAGGATGAATACAAAAAAAAAGTACTATAGCCTTAGGCCAGTCATTGGTAAGGAGGTGTCTTTTTTTTTTTTTTAAAGTTATGCAATGTTTTTGTTTTTAACTATTTGTATTCAGAAAATTACTGTTCTAGCAAGCTGGTAACAGTCTGATAGTCCTTTTATTTATTTTTTTACTGCAGAAAAAACTTCTCCAAGATGAATAAAGCAGGTTTTCTGTCAGCAATAACTTCATGATTTTTAAAAAAAATCTATATCCTTTAGAAATAGCAATTTAGGGCTGGTAGTAGCTCAGTGGTAGTACGTCTGACTAGCAAATGTAGTAAGGCTGTGAGTTCAAGCCCCAGTACCACCAAGAAAAAACTTTTAGAAATGTGTGATTCACATAATTTTCCTTTAACCATATTATTATGTAATTGTTAGATCTTAAACTTCTGGGTATTTATTACTTTTGTTTTTAGTTTATTACCCAATGAACTATCTTTTGTGTGCCTGTATTGAGGCTTTAACTGGGTGCCTTAGCTGTTGTACTTTAGCTTTTTCACCCAAGGCTGGTGCTCTACCACTTCAGCCACAGCTCTACTTCCAGCCTTTAGGTAGTTAACTAGAGCTAAGAGTCTCAAACACTTTGCTGCACAGGCTGGCTTTGAGCTGTGTGATCCTCATTCTCTTGAATAGCAAGGATTATAGGGGTGAGCCCACCGATACATGGCCTAACAATTTATTTTAGAATTTCAACTTTGTAGTACCTCTAGGAATGATATGATTAATCTTGGCATGTTGACCTTTTTTTATTAGATGCTCTGGCCATTTTATATTGAATTTCCATCCAAGCAATACAGTTTTTAGTGCAGACATGGTTAAATAAACATTCAGGTGAATACTGGTGGCTGCTATCATCATGGCTACTTAGGGCTGAAATCTACAGTTCATAGTTCAAGCCAACTCAGGAAGACAAGTCTGGAAACAAAGCTGGAAGTAGAGGCATGGCTCAAGTGTGTAGACAACCAGCCATGAGTAGCAAACCAAGCTAGAATGAGAAGCTCTAGTGCGTACACACGCACCTTCCTGTTCCACCCCACCCCCCCAGTCACCAAAACTGAAGGCCTAGGCACTCTCCCTGAGCCTGTTTGTGCTCAAGGCTAGCACTCTACCACTTGAGCCACAGCTCCACTTCCAGTTTTTGAGTGGTTAATTGGAGATAAGAGTCTCATGGGGACTTTACTGCCCTAGTGAACTTCAAACCACAATCCTCAGATTTCAGCTTTCCTGAGTAGCTAGAATTACAGGCCTGAACCATAGCACCTGGCTTAATTAATGTTTTATGTATGCTTGATAATGAAAGTTATTCTAGTTTTCATTAAGTAATTATATCATTTTTTAGACTGGAGCAGGGTATCCTTAAATGATGTCTTTTAGATTCGATTTTATATTTCAAAATCTCCATTATGTAGGTTTCCTGAGTTAATTGCTTGAAGATAATCAAGTAAAACCTTGTAATCTTTAGCAGAACTATTCTTATAAATGCTAGATGGTAAGCATAATTTTTTAGGTTATATAGTCACAACCATTTATGCCAATTTCATACAAAAACAGCTATAGATAGTCTATAAACATACAAATATGTGTGTTCTTGTAACAATTTATAGTCATTGAAATTTACATTTCATAAAATTGAATATTTTTATTTTTATTTTTTTCCAACCACTTAAGAATGTAAAACCTATTCATAGCCCACAAGCTGTATAAAAACAAGTAGCAGTTGAAGTTATCCTATAAGATTAGTTTTTAACCCTTATCTTCAGTTAAAACCTGTAAGTCATTGTCTCCCAAACTATTTTTTGGAATGCTATTGTTACTGTGGTAGGTTGATTTCAGTGATGAAAAGTTGTGAACTTCCTGCTTATTATTACATTCAAGATATTTATAAAGTATATTGGCATATTAAAAGTTCTGAGGGTCACGTGCTGGTGGTTCATACCTCTAATCCTAACTTCTCTGGAGGCTAGAATCTCAGGATCAAAGTTTGAAGTAAGTCTAGGCAGACAAATCTGAAAAAAAGTTTACTTCCAGCAAAAGCCAGAAATGGAGATGCTGAAGTGGTAGACCATGAATGAAAAAGCTAAAAATAGCATAAGATCCTGAGTTCAAGTTTCACCTCAGTACTAGCACAACAAAAAACACAATTATTTAACCTTGAACTTGTTAGGTGGTTTTTGTTTTTGTTTTTTTTTGTGTCCGGTCGTGGGGCCTGAACTCTGGACCTGGGTGCTGTCCCTCAGCTCTTCAGCTCAAGGCTAACGCTCTACCACTTGAGCCACAGCGCCACTTCCGGCTTTTTTCTTTTTGCTTGTGAGGTGCTGAGGAATCGAACCCAGGGCCTCATGCATGCAAGGCAAGCGCTCTACCACTGAGCCACCTTCCCAGCCCCTGTTTTTCTTTTTTTGTTTTTGTTGTTGTTGTTGTTGTTTTTGCCATTTGTGGGGCCTGAACTGGGCCTGGAAGCTGTCCCTCAGCTCTTCAGCTCAAGGCTAGCGCTCTACCACTTGAGCCACAGTGCCACTTCCAGCTTTTTCTGCTTCCAGGGCCTCATGCGTGCAAGGCAAGCACTCTACCACTGAGCCACCTTCCCTGCCCAAGTTAGGTGGTTTTTTTGTTTCTTTTTTCCTCCAAATGTAGATCACCTCTGAATCTTAACAGATGCCATAGTTTGGCAGATAAAATTGGAGAAATTCATTTCTCAAATGTAATTTGAGAACTAAAGAACTAAACTACTTCAGAGAAATAGATTATTAGTTTAGTAGCCAATTGTGTACATACGCTGTAGTTCTGTTTAAAACTTTAGACAACACAGATTCATGTTTTCCCCCCAAACTTTCTACTACGCCTTTCACAGCTCTTCTGCCAACTGTGTGTTTTCCCTCAATATCCTTTCTTCCTTTCCAATTTTAATTCCCACTCTTTCCATCATAAATTTTAAGTTTTTGATTTAGAACTTTTTGCCAGTACAAATGGTATAGTGAGGATCCAAAATTAAAGTATAATTTGTAATTTATATTTTTTGCACATTTAATGCATACTTTTTAGAAATGGCTTATATTTGTTAATTTTATAGACATATATGTTGCTTAGTAAATTAAGATTTTGGTTTTCAAGAAATATTAAAAGATTGTGATTTTTGGAATCTTTGTATTGATAAGGAATCAAAAAGAGCCTGAAGAAGAAGTAGAAAACGGCAAGACCCCATGGTTATATGATCAAGAAGGGGAAATAGAAAAACCATTTATCAAGACTGGATTTGCAGTGTCTGTAGAGAAAACTACAAATGGTAACCGCAAAAATCAGCTAGAGACAAGCAGGAGAAGACGCCAGTTTGATGAAGAATCATTAGAAAGCTTTAGTAGTATGCCTGATCCAGTAGATCCAACAACAGTGACTAAAACCTTTAAGACAAGAAAAGCATCTGCACAAGCCAGCCTGGCTTCTAAAGACAAAACTCCCAAATCAAAGAGTAAAAAGAGGACTTCCACACAGCCGAAAATCAGAGTTAAAAATATTGGTAAGTATTGGGGTTTGCTGAATGCTGATCAGAATAAAGATTGGTAACCTTATTCAGGCATGTTGGCTAGATGTGCAAGAACTGATCAGACAGACCGCAGTCAGGTTTTGTTGCTTTTTTATTTTTTTCCCCCGGTCCTGGGGTTTGAACTCTGGGCCTGAGTGCTGTCCCTAGGTTTCTTTTGCTCAAGGTTAATGCTGTTGAGCCACAGCTCCACTGTTGGCTTTTTTCTGTAATTAATTGGAGATGAGAGTCTCATAGTTTACTGTGGCAGCTGGGTTCAAACCGCGATCCTCAGATCTCAGATCCTGATTGGCTAGGGTTACAGGGATAAGCCACTGGGCCCCGCAAGTTTTTTTGCTTTCATGATCTTTTTGTAAAATATTTCAAAAAGGGTTTATCTATATATTTATATATATTTAGTTTTTTATTTTTTTGCCAGTCCTATGGCTTGAACTCAGGGCCATAGCTCCTTTTGCTCAAGGCTAGCACTCTTACCACTTGAGCCAAAGTGCCACTTCTAGCTTTTTCTGTTTATGTGGTATTGAAGAATCTAATCTGGGGCTTCATACATGCTAGGCAAGCACTCTACCACGGAGCCGCACTCCCAGCCCTAAAATGTATTTTTAAACATGGTATTAGCCGCACTCCCAGCCCTAAAATGTATTTTTAAACATGGTATTTTCTTTTTTGTGCTTTTTAAAACATTGTTTTTCTGTGAATGCATTACTGTGATCTCAGTGGGTGTACTCCAAATTTTATGTTACTTAAAAATTGCCAGTGTCCAAGTTTGATTTTCTGTTTTTTACTGTTACATCTAGTTCTACATCTAATTCCGTGTTTAATGATGACTTCTCCCTAAAATCTTGGTGTGTAAGGGGTGTGCGTGCACTAATGGGTGTTTGAACCCAGGGTCTTGGCCTCTGGCTTTAGCTTTTTGCTCAAGACTAGAGCTCTACCACTTGAACCACACCTCTACTTCTAGTCATTTGCTGGTTAAATAGAGATACTCCCTGGAATTTTGTATGCCCTGGGCTGGCTTTTAAACTTGATCCTGAGATCTCAGCCTCTTGTATAATTAAGATTATAAGTGTGAGCACCAGCAGCTTCTTGATTAGTTTAAAATTAACGTTTAAGCTGGGTGCCAGTGGCTCACTCCTGTAATCCTGGCTACTCAGGAGACTGAGATATGATTCTTATCTCCAATTAACCACCAGAAAACTGGAAGTGGCACTGTGGCTCAAGTGATAGAGTACTCACCTTGAGCTGAAGAGCTCAGGGACAGCACCCAGGCCCAGAGTCCAATTCCCATGACTGACCGCCCCCCCCCCCAAAAAAAAAAGATAATGGCAGAATTGGCCAAAGAAACAAAAGGAGAGATACAACAGCAACTTCAAGAGCAAAAATTCCAAGACCTAAAAAAAAGAAGTACAGTCAAAAATAGTCATAGGGCTGGGAAGGTGGCTCAGTGGTAGAGCGCTTGCCTTGCATGCCTGAGGCCCTGGGTTCGATTCCTCAGCACCACATAAGCAAAAGAAAAAAGC